TTCCTTTTTCAAAAACAGGTCCATTTCACCCAGCCGAGTACCTCTACTTTTTTTTTTTTTTGTAGAATTTCACCCCTAATCAAAACATTTACATTGAATTCGTCGTTTCCTTTAGCTTGTTTTTATATTTCATTCAGAAGTTTTTAACCCCTCTTCTCAAGCTTCACTATCTACATGATAATTTGGTTTAGTTTATTTTTTGTATTCTATCTCAATAAACACATCGTAGTGTTAGAAGCTTAGGAAGAACAAGAGAACTTGCACATGCTACGTATCACGTGCTACTTTAAAAGAAGGAAGAAACAAATCTTCATTGAACTAGATAAGTAAAATAAACAAATCCAATTTTTATGCTCCACAATCTGTTGCTTGTATTAGAGAGCTTTTATGTAACGGAAACGAGAAATTCTTTAAAAGTAACTTGAGAACAGGGAGACGATAAGATGAGAGGGGGGAGGGCGTTCTTTGAAATGATTGGTGCAATTTTCACCGCTAGGGATAGTGAGAGTTCGGTGGCCTTGTGCATGCGTCGATGTGGACCGCCAGTAAAAGTTGTACATCGTAAGTACGAGTGGCTGTACTTGCAAGCTATTACGGCGAGGTTTAGACCGTTTTCAAAAATAGCGACGTCGTTCGTCTGTAAAGTGGTGTATTAAAAAAAGTAATCCTGCTTCTGCATTCCCTTAGAAACGGCCATTTGTTATCCCGTTGGCAGAAAGTGAAAATTTGCAGCTATACGCTTGGTTAGGTCGGGTCTGTGTGACCAAAAAGTTAAGTGGCCCATGATGACCTTGGGGTAGAATAGGTGTCGGTCAGTGGCGTTCCCTGGGATTTTGCTTCTTTTCTCTTTGTAGCGATGCAGAAACTAGCTTGCTATTACTGCATCATAAATATAAGTGACGTATTATATACAGCATTATCAAAGTAAGTATATATGTTTTATCTGTTGGTAATAGTCTTGCGTGGTTATGCAGTATAGACCATGTAGATTTGAATCAGCTGTCTTATTTAATGTAGCTTATCAGTTATAGAGTGCAGAATAGATCCTATAAATCCGATTCAGCTCGTTTATATACACCAAGAGTGTAACTTAAACTTAAAGGCTGCAGTTAGGTCATATAAATCTGGATCAGATGTATTATGTATATAAAGTGTATAGCTTATAGACTGCAGTGTAGGCCAAATACATCTGAATCAGTTGTCTTATATACACCAAAAGTATCTAACCTATAAAAAAAACCACTGTGTGTCACGTCACGTTTGATTTATCGAAATAGGAGGAGTCATAAAAGCCAAAATGCATTTATCCAGATAGAATAATTCGATTACTGTTTGCCCGTTACAGTTTTGGTGACGGGGGAGCCAGGGGGTGTGTGTGTTGTGAAACCTTATAAGTGTAATTAGTGTTGGTATAATAAGCCTAAAGTAAAGACGTAGTGTTGGATCACCTAGCCTAGAGCCAAGTGCATAAAATTTATCACTAAAGTAAAAATATCGATTCAATTTTAAACTTGAACATTTCTGAATTCAGCTAATTTCTGTTATATCCCCAACGTTTTTAATAAAAAACAACCTCTTTAATCAACGGAGACTCTGAATTAAGAAATCAAATATTTTTCTAGTTTTGTTGTCTATACATTTCATTTTATACTTGCAGTACATAGACTAACAACAATATTGGGTTATATTTTTGTTGCTAAGCAACATGACATAAAAGCCATTGTTCGAACTCAGTTTTACCAAAACGCAATGACTTTTCTGTACATTAGAAGTTGTTAATCTAACTGATTTTTACCAATACTTATTCGTTCAATACGCCACGAATTCATTTCATGAATAATCTTAATTTTGATTCGCTCACAAATGGATTTACCAACGTTTGACTGATTCGACTACACTTTTCTGCTTCTTTGTTGGTCAAGTTTGATTACTCAAATTTATTTATTTCAGTTAGCTATGAAATGTGAGGTTGGGGTAGGGATGGGGATGGTAGTACTTGCCCCGTCATTTTTGACGGGCTATAAGCTAGTAATTTCTAGACAGCAGTTTAGCTCATATAAGTCAGATTCAACTTTCTTATATCAACGTAGAGTATAGCTTATAGGCTGCAGTGTAGGTCATATAAGTCAGATTCAACTTTCTTATGTCAACGTAGAGTATAGCTTATAGGCTGCAGTGTAGGTCATATAAGTCAGATTCAACTTTCTTATGTCATCGTAGAGTATAGCTTATAGGCTAAGTTTTTTATTTTAATGGCATTGATTTTAAACATGTAATCTAGGAGGAATATACTATAAGTTGGAAAAATTATTATAGGATACGCCTTTCCTTTTTAATCGATTTTAAATTTGTCTATTATTAAATAATGTTTTTTTTTATATATATTATACCTTGAAACAATGTTCCAGTAATTATATGGTATAGCTATGTCAAGACGTGAAAAAACTTGGCATTTGGTTATACAGTATGATAAATATACTAAAAGTCTTACTTTCTTTTTCTTATTCTCTATTTTATTGGTACGATAATTGTTTGTATGAGACTTTTTTGAACCTTATATATTTTTTTATTTTTAATTTGTTCTCAATTTCGGGCTATCTTCTGTCCTTTTAGCCTTTCTCCCAGACAAACTACAGAAACGAAAAACAAAGACTCACTATCCAAACTCAAACTCTTCGTTTTGATCATAGTTGTCTCCTCATGTGAGCAACCCATATTTCATCGTTTTAACAGAAGTAGTTAACTTAATAGAAAATGATCAGTTAGTTGAGTAGCTCCAGCGTAGATCACCTCGTGAGCACCGCTGTTGGAGAAGTAGGCGTAGAAAATGTTTCGTATATACGTATAGTACGTAACACAAAACGAGGAACGTAAAACTGATTTATTCCCCTCCTCGAGTTTTTTAAGTGACAAAAAAAAAGTAGAAGTGTGAACATATGTATGATTCTCCAAACTCGACAGATTCGTGGGCATTATTACATGAGCTGGACAAGCTAAACACATGTGATTCAACAAAACCGTCTGTCCATGTGAAGCCGTCTGCTAACAGTTTTCCAGCATATATATATATGTCTTACAAATCCGGGATAGAGAGACGGAGATTTATAGTGTTCTCGTTGAGCATGAGTTTTAGATTATTTTTTAAATCAATTTTGCGTATGTGATGACAACACCAAATATATCATTTTAAGTGTCATGGTTTTGATATTTAATATTTTTTTGGGCTTATCAAACATTATTCGTCGAATCTTGTCCGATTGGAGTTATAGAATGTTTGAGATCTTCATTTAAATTTCAGTTTATTTCATTATAGTTTAGTTCATTGGATTATTGTCACGGTTTGTTTCTTCACTCTCTAGTGCGTTCTGTTATTATTATTTTTCTTCCTATGTTGGTGAGTTTGTATCAGTCACTTCACAAACATATTTTACTCCAATATATAATCATCACAACCATTTTGACATTCATACTTCTAGTGATTGGTAATAACGATAGTAAATGTCAGAAGAGGGTTTACTGAAGCTTCCAGTGTTTAGAACTTAGCTGTCCATAGGTGTTACACTGTTCTTGTTGTATCATTAATGCTAGCTGTCTACAGATGTTACACTGTTTTTATTCATGTTCGAACTTAGCCTCGCTCTCGTCTCATTATCGGTATTTAGGTCTTGTAGATCTGGGAGGGTCAGGTTCCATAGGACCTCATCCTTCCCTCTGGTAGACGGTTGCTGTTTCGAGTGAATATAAATTTAAATACTACGAGAGGGTCAGAGTATCCCACACTTACTCTGACCCCTTTCATTAACTCTTTACAGTTATTTGCATATAATACCCTTACAATGCTATCGTGTAAACATAAAACTAATATTGATGTTATCGTCTAGCGTTAGGTAGCCTTATTAAATTCTTATTTCTATTATAAATGTTAAGAAGTGGGAGGAATTTAAGGCTATCTTCATCATGCATGCAGTAGCGATCTAATTCACACAACAGATAATTTTTGTGCACATTTTGCGCTAAATAATTTAGCGAACTTTGTAGGAGTCTATCGGAGTGTTTGTATATTTGTGCAGAAATTTTGATAACGTGGGTCTGAGTATATTGTTTGCTGTAGTTAGTAACGAGTGTTTGTAGTTAAGCACAAAGCTACACAATGGGCTATCTGTGCTCTCCCCACCACGGGTATCGAAACCAGGTTTTTAGCGTTGTAAGTCCGCAGTCATACTGCTGTGCCACTGGGAGGCACGAGTTATGTATATATTTGTGATTTATTTAGGTGTTTTGGTGCTATATTAATCCATGTTCTATTACTGGGTGTATGTATATTTTGTAGATTCTGAAAATGTTCCCAGCTGAAGTTCCGTTGTTTTTGCCCGTTAGATTCCTGACGTGATTCATGCATTGCCAAACTTTTGTTACGATATTATTGATATGTTTTATTCACATTAATTTAGAGTCGTATGTTAATCCGAGGAATTTGGCTGATCTTGTGTTCTCGAGATGTGCTCCATTCATGCATAATTTGGGTGGGTCTTTTTTGTGTTTTGTTAACTTTGCAATTACTACCAGTTGATTTTTGGGGGCATTTATTTTGATACGATATTTTTGGCAGTATTCCACAATGTTGTTTAACCGTGGTTGTATATTTGTTGCTGTTATTGAAGTGTGGGTTCGTTTTTCCAGATTGCAACATCATCTGCAAATTATGAGGAATATCTCTGATTTGGATCTTTGAGGGACATGTTGCTAATATACATGATTAATAGGATAGGGCTAACTACCCCTCTTTGTGGGACCTCTGGAGTAAAAGACTCCGAGAAGGTTCGTCCAACATTTACTTTATCTGTTTTCCAGAAACTTTGATAGCCAACGAATAATACCAGTTTTATTTCTGACATACGGAACCTCAGTTCGTTAATACCATACACTTGTTTTCGGTAGTTTGAAAAGTAGTGGGATTAATTTAAGTCTGGTTCTGATTGAACCTTTTCTTTTTCTTGGTAGGAATCTTGATTTAAAGTTTATCAGCAGAGAAACCGCCAGGAATGTTCAGAAACTTCAGTTTCTCTTCATCCCTCACGCGAGATTTTGTTCTAATTGAGTATGGCTGATTGGTAAAATATTCTGACTATGCTAGTAGCAGGGCGAAAGTTCGCGTTGGGGTGGAGAATGGGCACGGTCTAGCAAAATACTGTGCTTGATATCACGGTGATTTGGCGGAGTCTTATGAACTAATGAAGATTTTGGTAGTGGTCTTATGGATTAAAAGTTTGACTTGAAAGTTAAATGTGTGGCCTCTCTCAGCGTGGCGGGAAACGTGTGATCCGATGCCATAACTTAGATGTGGATTGGAAACCGGAATGCCCAGAGAAAACCGACTTTCACTGCTCGGGCGCCTAATAAAAAGCCTGAACAGTACCTTTACTATTGCAGACAATAAATAACAGAAACATTTTAACCCATTTACGCTGCTAATAATTAAAAGATACTATTCCATAACAGCTAAGAATGCGCTTAAAGCAGTAAATACAAATAAATTATTTAATATCAGTTGTAAATACAGAACCACTTTTTTTTTTAGTTCTGCTGCTTTTGTCTTTATATTCGTTAACAGACGCAATATAGGTAAACAAGTCTTAGCTTTTGTCGTATACACTTACTTAAGATACCTTGTCGTATCTATTTCAGGTTTTACGTGCGCTCTGTAAGTGGAAGTTAGCAAACAGTTTCTGTTTTGGTCGTGTTTCTTATCTTCATTGAATGGGTAACCATAAAAAAAAAGATAGGTAAGCTATAAGAAGTGAAAGATATAATATTCATATTAAGTGGGAGATCATTCTTGTGCGTGAAGTGTACGTTTCAAACGTTATTCGTGTAAATAAAGTGTACGTTTCAAACATTATTCGTGTAAATAAAGTGTATGTTTCAAAATTCATTATTCGTGTAAATCAAGTGTACGTTTCAAACATTACTCGTGTAAATAAAGTGTACGTTTCAAACATTATTCGTGTAAATAAAGTGTATGTTTCAAAAGTCATTATTCGTGTAAATAAAGTGTATGGTTCAAGTAATATTTCTCACTTTGAATTAACTTGGAAATCACTAAATATCTATCTCATGAGTGAAAAGTCTGTTAGTGAGACAATGAGTAAATATAACATTAGTTCTTTGTTAAGGCTTTCACGTTATTCGTTTCATTGTTGTTCAGTTTCACATAATTTTTAAATTTGTACCTGTTTTTCCTCTAAAATATTTGTCTCTGCGGTCAGCTCTGGTTAACCTTGGCATAATCTTGTTTGATTAAGGTACTTTGTGAAACGCCTGGGTGAACCATAGACACACATTCATATACAAACACATTCCAAACTGATTGCAAAGCTTCTCGCCTTGAGACACTAAGTAAATATTATATAATATGTTTGGGTAATGTGGCAGCGGAAGTCTTCTCCGGGAGCATGCCATGAGAACAGCGACCTGTTAAATGTTATCAAGCATGTCATCTCTTGTTTTACTCCGTCGTCCCCTACTGACCTGAAACGGGTTGGTACCTGCGTGTATTTTACAGCTGTATAGAATAAATTACTTTATCTGTGCGCCAGCGTGTTTGTTATACAGGCAGTTTGTTTTGTCAGCCCTTATGATCTAGGAGGGGCAGTGGAAGCATAGGTAAAGTTCAGTTAATTTCTATTTACCTACAACGAAGTAAACACTTGTTTCAGATTTGAAGACTCACAATAAAACTTAGTTCTTGTAATAATTTTACAAAAATCTGGACCAGTTCTCTATTAACTTCAGCACACAATCCTATAGAAGGGTGGGGAGAGATTCTCTCTAAAAACTGGTTCGTATATACCTGTTTATTATGTGCAACTTTTAATGTAACTGTATCATTCAGAACCCTTAATTCATAACTTGTTGAGATTAAGTATATTGTGACAGAGAGTTTATGTAAAGTTGATCTGAAATGAATTTCAGGCATATTACCTGTAATAACATTATCAGCTACTTGTAAGAACGAAGGTGACATTTCCGGAAAAGATTACACAATTGCCGACTTCAAATTTGTCAAGTTATATTTGTTTTCATATTACTGTTAATGAACTGTATGTTGTGCATTGATATTGAGCAAAGTTACAATTGTACTTATGAAAACACATGTAAAGTGAGTGAGAATTCACTAATTTTTACAAGTGATAGGTACGTTATCACTGAAGGTTTGCAAGTCCGTATACTCTATATGTAGGGATGGACAAGGTACTAAATAGGCATAATACAAATATGCATGCTAGAAATCAACAGTAACAGAGAGTTTTACTTTAAAAGATGATTGCCATTCACTTTCATTTTTTTCTCTACCCAACAGGCCCAAAAACAAGGCAAGAAACCATCAGTAAGATACTAAACCAGACAGTGACCAACCCACCAAATTGTTAATCTTTCTTCTTCTTGTTTCAGTCGAGATAACTCTGCAACTACTTTATTACTAACATCAGTTTTAACCTGAACCCACTCTATGTGTTTCTGGACAGTGCACGATATCATCTCTTAGTCGTAATAACTAGTAGTAATTAGAAAAAAAATTAAATGTAAAATGATGTAGGGACGATACAGCTATACTTAGATCATCCCTACATGATTTTCAATATTAAAATTTTATATTACGCTGTAAAATGCATACTTGACTTTAATATTACTGCAGTTAGAAGTTGTATATTCCTGACTGTTGGTATGCAATTTGTTTATCACAATATCGTGCTTATCTCAGGGTAGACATCAATGTAGTGTAACTAAGAGCCTAGGACTTGCGTACAAAGAAAACCAAGTTGAGTCAAAACGTCTTGATTATTAGATACTATTACAGACTCTCGCTACGTGTTCGGTCGAATTTACCGACGTTGTAACCATTTTGTACTTGTGCATTTTACAGTGCAACATTGAATTTTAATATTGAAAGTAATGTAGGGATGATTTATGTACAGCTGTATCATCACTATATTCTTGTTTGCATTCTTTTTAGCACTGCCATCCCTACATCATTTTACATTTACAAAATGTTTTTTTTATTACTTTTATATTAATTATACGTATATTCAGTGTATTGGTCAACATCACATAAATTAAGTTTAACTATTGAAACCTGGTCTTTGACTTGGTTCATTGTTTTCCAAAAGTTTGCATTTATAAATAGCTAATTCTGTTATTTGGTCCTTACTTTCGCACGCACACGGACATAATGAATAATAATAATGTATAAGATCTAATTAATTAGTTATGCAGTGTAATAGATAGTAACGGGGTTAGTGAATGGAATTCGTTCATTTACTGTTTTAGTTAGTTTGCATTTGTGACATCTGTCGTGAATCTATTTTCAAAAGGCAGATGAAAATACGAATTATAATCAGACAATACTCGTCCCACTACATTTCTCTGCTTTTTCTCCCGATTGTCTGCTTTCTTTATCCGATGGATATCGCCCACATCATTATTCATTGGGCGTTAATTTTTAATTTTTTTTCTCATGAACAACATGTGGACTCAAGACCGACGCCACGTGACGTGTCGAAATCCATCTATGGCAAAGATGTGGGTGGGGATATGTTTCTGCTAGTATGTTCTTTCTTTAGTTATTACCCATACCCTGTTTGTGTTGCATACATGTAGCTGGTGTTGTGGTCAGTTGTCATGGTGAGTTCACATAATTATGTACCAAACAGTTGTCATGGTGAATTCGTATAATCATGTACTAAACAGTTGTTATGGATAGTCCATATTTCTCCGTCTGTGTTTTATAAAAATTGCGTGTTGGATGTTCAGCTAAAATTGATTTATATATACGAGGTAAAACAGCAGCAAATAGAACAAATCATACCGAAACAAAAATTAATTGCAATTGTTCATACATTTGTTTGTTTCATTTCAGAATTATCTCGTCCAGTTAGCTGGAAGAATGTTAACTGAGATACGTTTCCGATATATTAGCCTACGATAAGTGTTATTGAAAAATGGCTTGTTATGTAATTATAAATATAACATACAAATTTACCTAAGACATTTGAAATTCTTATAACGGAGAGGGCCCCATGAACGCTGTTTCTACACACCTTATTCTTCACTACTTTCTCCGGATGTACGTTCTCATTTATTCAACCAGTTTAAAAGGCACGCTATCTTGCAACATTATGAGTAGTTATTAACATTACATAAGCTGTTCCCTTCATCGTGCAGGGAAGACATTGGGAAGGGGTCAGTTTAGAACGTCGATTTTCCTGTGTCACTCTCCAAGGAACTCTTAAGAGTCTAGTGGAAAATATTTGGTGTAAATCGGTCCAGCAGTTCTCCAGTTATAATCGGACACCGTACTGGGAAGACATAGAGGATTAGATCCGAACGGCGGCCCTTAATGTCATTCCACAAGGGACCCTAAGGGTACATGCCAGGTTTAGTTGCAATGAGTTCAGCGATCTATCAATTTTAAGAGGGGATACAAATATACACAAACTTGTATATTTTTTCAAATAATAGACTGGATGATGAAAGGGATATACCTGATGAGCTATATATTCTTATAATCGTTCAGGCTATGTTAGGAGTGGTGTATGTATCGATGAGATATATTTCATGTAATTATTAGAATGGTGTTAGAACAAATACCAGTTCGTTATGCTATAGAACTATTTTGTGGAATCTAGTGATATTTGTATAGAACATTAGAGATTTACAATCGCTTATGAATCATAGCCCATTCAATGTCATGTCGTGTACATGTATTTCGTACTTTATCTTTTTTTTTTCTTTTAAGAATTACTGTCGTGTACTCTTCTGTTCGAAAGGGTATATTTATGCCCTCTTAAGTTGAAAGCGCATATTACGCTTTTTTATATCTCGGTTATTTCCTTTTGGAGGATGACAGTTTGCGCTGTAGAAGGTTATTTTTCCTTTGAAAATGATTGTGATATTTGACGCTATAGCTGGTTGTTTCTTCTTGAAAGTGTTTTTGATACTTAGTACTATAGCTGGTTGTTTCTTGAAAGTGTTTTTGATACTTAGCGCTATAGCTGGTCGTTTCTTGAAAGTGTTTTGGATACTTAGCGCTATAGCTGGTCTTTTCTTGAAAATGTTTGTAATACTTTGCGCTCTATCCGGTTATTTTTTCTGGAAAGTGTTTTTGATATTTGGCGATATAGCTGGTTATTTCGTCTTGTGGGTGTTTTACGTTAATATGCTTGTGAAAATATATAGAACGCTTTAAGTTAGTTATTTTCCTTTCAAAAGTATATTCAATATGAATTATAGATGGTTATTTTCTTGAATTACCGTTTACTTGCGTAATCTTTCTTCTTTTGACATCACTCGCTTCCTTTTGAAAGTACCTTTTTGTATCTGCAAGACGTTTCTCACGAGAACCTTTTATAATGATTTTTGTGTGAATCAAGATATTTTAGTGATAACCTTTTGTGCCTTACTTATACACAAATACCTACATATGCAAAAGTAATAAAAATGCTACATATATTTTCAAGTAAGACCCATTATTTATTTGATTTCGCTTAATATTTATGATTGATTTTATTTTTATTCCTTTTCATGAACTGGTAGTCAGCTGTTATAGCACCATGTCTACGCTATTGTGATCAGAAGTGGAACGGTTCGCCTTTCTGTTTTCTACATGTGGTTATACAGTTGAGTGAAATCGACAGGGCTTATCAGAAGTTCGGAGATCTTTCCTTCTATCTTTGCTGCGGGAAAACGTGCGAGATAGTTGCAGAACGTGAAATTTCCCTCGAACTTTCCTGCATGTGTAAGGTTGATACAAGTACTAAAACGTTAATAACGAGTGATCAATGACATATAATTTTATAAGCTCTTTACAATGGACTGGTTACCTGATATTGCTGGAACAACGACTCCGGCGATTGGCGTACTTTCGAGTTCTGAATCAGATGAACATCTACCCATCCTTCTGCAGCACCTCCTGGTGGCCATCGAGAGAGGCATAGAACGAATTGAATGGGAGGGTGTCCGGAAACTCAAGATTTGTAATCATGTATGTTCAGGTTCATCACTCCATTTACCTAGCAACCATTCAGTGGACACTAAGGACATTTCGGTCCAGACTAGTCTCTTGAACCTCACGTCACAAAACTCAAATAGTGATGATAAAACTAGAATGAAGGGTGATAAAACTGAAACCGAGTTTCAATCCACTTTAACATCAGATATTATAGAAAACCACTGCAATAATTATCAGGATTTCGACTGTAGGGGAAATTGTGCAAAATCTTCTCAAACTGTTCAAAGTAATCAATGTTGCTTAGATATTATCAGTAGCGAAGACAACATGCTACCTTCAACCTGTACTTCCAAAAGTGATGAGTATGAAAGACAATGTCTAAATATTTGCCAAAAAGAAGAAAATCAGAAATTTTCTTCTGATCCTTCTCAAACTGTGGAAAACCAAGAATATTGTTCAAACCTTTCCCAAAATGTTGATAATAATACTGGAGAAGAACAAAATGACTCAAATATTCTTGTGCTAAATAACTCGGAGACTGATTCTTTGGTAGTTAAACCAACTTCAGTTGCAGGTAAGAGTAGTATTATTGACATTTTTCAGAGAGGGCATACTATACATTAATATCTTATATTTTCATCTAAGCCTGCTTAGAAAGCTTGGCTATTTGAAAATTGTTATTTTCACGTATGTTCATGCTCTAATCTCTTTTATTATTACATTATATTTAGGCTAATGGTTTACCTACATATTGGTCTAAGTCCTAATATATTTTTCATGGTTGACAAAAAAAAAAGAGGTTTTAATGCTTTTTTTCGATAACTGAGAACAACAAAGAGTAGAAAAATAAGTAACTGTTCTAGTGATGCAGCTGTTTATCTTTTAAAACGGTTTTAATTACTCTAGAGAACTTGAAACTTGATATTTTAAAGTTGGAAAATACAACATGCTCACAGTTTCAACTCTTTTTTTTTTTGTAACCTGATATCGATGTAAATAAAAGTGTTTGATGTCAACTTACCTTAAGCCTAATTCGAAAATTAGTAAATTGCATATGTGAAATTATTGAGGTTTTGAGTGAAAGATAATATTTTTTACTTTACAATGTGTAAATAAAATGGTACCATATTTAATTGTGTAGTTTGACCAAATCGCAGATTTCACTCAATTGTCCCTAGTAAAGCTCAATTGCTTAGAAGTTTGGCTTAGTTCTCGAGAAGTAGTATAACGGCAAAGAAGAATTTTATTTGGGTGTTTTGTTAATGCTGAGTTTAAACGCTACCAACGATAAATATCTCAGACGTGGTTTTACTTGTACTTTCTACTAAGTATAAGATACTAGAGAAGATTGTAGTCTGTCTTGAGCAGCACATCTATGCGATTCAGTCTATTTTAGGTGGCAGGATACTATAAGTTACTGATCGTTACGTATTTTAGGTGGCAGGATACTTTAAGTTACTGATCGTTACGTATTTTAGGTGGCAGGATACTGTAAGTTACTGATCGTTACGTATTTTTACGTAACGATCAGTAACTTACAGTATCCTGCCACCTTTTAAGGTGGCAGGATACTGTAAGTTACTGATTTACGTATTTAAGGTGGCTTCAAAATGGATCATGAATTGTTATTGTGTGACTCGACTCTAGCTAATTATGGTAAATATGATAATTTCTAAACTTGTGTAATTATAACGTATTTGCGAATAAGTTTTTTTATCATAAAACCAGCAACCCTTAAGATTCAATGTGTTGTGTGTTCTCGTCGTCGTTTTCATGTTAAAAGTTACTTTAGCAGACCCTTTTTTTTTCTTTTATCTCAACGGTTGAAAACAGTTACTCATAATGAAACTAGTTTTTTTCTAATAACCCACTATCTATCTGCTGGTTTCTTATGTTTGATTAAGACCGCTTGAGTTTAATACTTGAGTTTACCAAATGGAAACGTGACATAATCAGAGCATAAAGGTCCTTCTTTTACGCAATGGACAATTAACTTTGAGACTTGTTCTGTTACTTGGCTTAATTACTGACATTTAAGTTAAAATTTATGCAAGTAATCAAGTTTTTATGTTGACTACTACATAAAGATTCTTAAGGTGAAATGTGAAATAAGAACGATCCTAGGTGTACAAATGAAATACGAATGATTCTAGCAATAAGTGAAACAGGAATTGTTTTAACAATAAGGGAAATAACATTTCTGACAAGAGAAATAGGAATCGTTATAACAAATCAACTGGAAATTATTATAACAACAAGAGTTGTCCTAACAGCAAGTGAATTAGAATTGTGCTTGCAATAAATTAATTAGACTTGTGCTTACAATAAATGAATTAGAATTGTGCTTACAATAAATGAATTAGAACTGTGCTTACAATAAATGAATTAGAATTGTGCTTACAACAAGTGAACTGGAATTGTGCTTACAAGAGGTGAATGAGAACTGTGCTTACAACAAATGAATTAGAATTGTGCTTACAACAAATGAATTAGAATTGTACTTACAGCAAATGAAATAAGAAATTACCCAGGCAACATATACAGAAGTGTTTCTGGCAACATGTCAGGATGTTAAGACATAGTTAAAGGACCGTTTTCCATATGACGATCAAGCAATTCGTGTTTCTTTATATTACAGTTAAGGAAAAAAGTACAAACAAGAATCTGTTATGTTGTAAATAGAAGCTTAAGCCAGAGTGCACGCTACGTCTATGTAACAATGGCCTCTTGTGATCTTCTGTATGAGGCAACTTGAACATCACAATACAGCTTTGGTGCCCGTTACAAAATAAAAAATGTTCAGCAAAACGTGAAGATGCTTAAAGAAATGAATTAAAGCATTGTTTGTATGATTATATGTTATGAAACAGTAGTAAATAGTAAATGGACCTGACTTGTAGAAGGAATGAAGGGAAATGTCTCAGACCGAAAATAAGCATGGTTTTGTTTATAATGTATATTCATATATATATATATATATATATTCCAGACGTAAAAAATAAATATTTTAAGCTAACGAGAAACTTTATAGCTAATTGACCATTTGTTGTTTTTAACAAAAATCTGAGTATCAGCCTACAATTGACATTTGTTTCATTAGATTTAGGTATGTTGGTTCAACCGGGTGCTATCTATATAGTTTTAAATCAGATAAGTCGTTCTTTTTATCCATTCCTATCCTCTTACTACCAAATAATTTCACTAGCTCTTGTGGGTCAGTGGTAAGGCTGAGGCCTTAAAACCCTAAAAATTGGGTTTCGGTTATGGCGGTGGGGACAGCAGATAGCTTATTGTGTTGTTTGGCGCTTAACATCAAATAAACAAAAACATTTTTCTGTTCTTTATCTTATTCTGACGTAATGAAATTTTGTGTACAGAATTCAATCTTCTTTCTAGAATAGGGTTGGACATGGTGAAAGTGCCCAGATTATTAATCCGCACTTTGGGCCATGGGTGCGCTGAAAGAGTGGTAGTCACTATTCAATCAGACAATAGTTGGGGGCAGGGGGTGAGTGTTGTTGACTAGTTCAATATTCTCTGTAGTCTATAGATTCGAAATTAGAGGCATTTATAAACAGATTTTTGAAGTTTCTCGCGTAAGATTTTGGAACAAATCTAAACATAAGATGTTTTATTTCCCCGAAAGGGGACCGAAGACCGTCTAGAAGGGTCACCTGTTTTAACCACTCGCGCCGCTATAAAGTAGTGTGTTGTTTGTCATTCAGTCAGTAGACACTACAGTGACGTCACTTCAGGGACGCTTAACGTTACAATTTGTACAGTCGTGACGTCAGTAAACCGTGCACTTGTCATGAATCACGAGAAAAATTATGCACTCCGTAGGCTACAACACAACATGACATATGAACTTCAAAAGCAAGAAATATAAATATTTGTTACTCTTAATTTTGGTTTTAATTACTCTTGAAACAGAACATTTTATGGGACCCTGCGCAAGTACATCTAGTGTGTGTGTATGAATATATATATATATATATTTAAGATAGTTCGGGATCCTTTTAAAAGTTTTCCCTTGTTTCTAGTTGCTAATTGAGTTTGCCGTTTCTTTTTGTTGTTTTTTAAGTAATTGGATAATTTCGACTGCCTTCATAATTATTAACCAATAATATTACAAAATAAAATTCAAAAAGTTTGTACGTTGTAATTATGATAAAGTACTTCAAGACGCAAGTTAGACAATGTACCAGTTTCATCATCGTCACATTTTTAGTTCTAAAATTTAAAGAAATCGTTTGACGTCAGTTTCTTTCTTGGTATGGCAGCGCAGTAGCTCACTTTCGTCGCCATGATAGTTATCACTGAAATGCCATTCCGATGCTCTCTGTCCTATGGATTGAGCAGCGGAGACCACGAGGTAAATCATTCTACAGGTTATTACAGGTGAATAAAATCCGTGGTCGAAAACCTTGTCATGATGACTCATGTACTAGGAATTGATGGGGAGGGGGGGGGGGGCATAATATGTCTTTGTTGCTTCTGGGGAGGCTTTTCACGGCCGAAGGATTGTGTTACTGGCAGAGCTTCAGTATAAGATTTTAAACAGGCGAATTTCAAGATTATCTATCATAGCTAAACGTAATTCCTTGTAAGGATATTTAAAAAAAAAGCGATGACAAATAGATTTATACCGTGTAGATGGAGTGGTTTGAACGTCTTGTCACGTGATTTTCATACAGTGCAACTTTCGGGATCACTTCTTTTGTGTGGTAAGGTGTCACAGTCTTAATTCTTCAGAAGTAGATAAGAACAAATTGAGGATAATAACAAATGAAATTCACTCACATTATTCTATCCTTTCAAAAAGGTTCTAGTAAAGGAAAATTTAAAAACATATTTTAAACAAAATGAGCAGCTGAAAATTTTCTTTGCTGATAAAATGTTTCGTTGATTTTATAAAAAAAAAATATTTGCTGATAAAATGTTTCGTTGATTTTTTATATTTTCTTTGCTGATAAAATGTTTCGTTGATTTTTTTGTATTTTTTTTGCTGATAAAATGTTTCGTTGATTTTTTTGATTTTCTTTGCTGATAAAATGTTTCGTTGATTTTTTTGAATTTTCTTTGCTGATAAAACGTTTCGTTGATTTTTTTTATTGTCTTTGCTGATAAAATGTTTCGTTGATTTTTTTAAATTTTCTTTGCTGATAAAACGTTTCGTTGATTTTTTTTATTGTCTTTGCTGAT